TCACTGGCGCTGGTCGTTCAGTTCATCTCGCAAGAGCTGCGGCAGAGGACCGGAGATGCCTTAGCTCCAAGGCCACAGGGAAAGTGAAGGCAGGGCGCCCCAAATTCGGCAAGCGTTTCCTTACGTATGTCCCGTAAAATGAAATATGCTTTCATGTTTTAAACACACACACACACACACACACACACTTCAAAGGGGTACCCCGAACAAAAACACCCGCACCAGCCAACTTCAAAAAAGACTACCTCAGAACATGGAAGCTCCCAGGCCACTCGGAGGCCCTGGACCTGCGTTGCCGAGAAGATAAACTTGCCAGTCATTCAAAAAATACCCGCATAGCTGCCCACATCTTCGTCGGCGTTTGTGTCTATTGCCAACATACGAAGATAAACTTGCTGGTGCTCAAAGGGAATGACCCAAAGTTTGGGAATGAACCTAAAGATGCCACAGGGGATGGTCTTTCTTGGGGTGATTCCCTCAGCTGAGAACCAGCAAGTAAAACGCAAAAAAATGCTGAAAGAAAAGACAAATTTGTCCAGTAGTGAAATCGATTGCCCGTAAAACCGGGGGAAAACACAAAATGCGCATTCTTAACTTCAAGTGGAGGCAAATCCGATGAAGGAAAAGCCCAGCTGCGCGAGCAAAAGCCCACCAAGGCCGCCACAGGGAGCCGTGCCAGCCTGGCGAAACTTGAAAGGTCAGTTGGGCGAAATCGCGAATCTCTGGTGCTACCTTCCAATTCCATTCTGAACCCAGGGATCCGGATCTTTCTAGAAAACCTCCGGACACCCACGGAAAAACGGATCCGGATCGACGAAATCCATTTCGCACCACTTTGAAACCGGAAGAAACCATTGTTGGTTGGCATTTACAAGGGAATCGACTCATTCCAGGGTTTCTCAGGCGGTGCGGTTTCACATGTTTAACCTTTAGTCCAGCATCGCTATCGCTCAGGAGGCGAGGGTTTCGGGGGCAGGCTCTTCAGACGGATGGGTGTCCATTTGCAGGGGTTCCGTTTTCGACCCCTGAGCCACACCCAGATTTTGTCCAACCCTGCCAGCCTCTTGTGCAGAAGCCTTGGCGGGAAGCGGATCTCGACTGACCCAAACCCAAAGACCTGGTTTGACAGCAAGGTGAACCCCCCCCCGCTCAAAGAAACGAACTACATGCTTTGACAACAGCGCACCACTTCCAAGGGGTGCAACGAAACTCGAAGAACCCACACAGCGAGTGAATCGTTCCCAAAGTTAAAGTTGGATTCCCATCGAAACCCATGGCCAGATACCATTCTACTGAAGAGGTTGTTCCTGGCACGGAAAAAAACAAAAAAGTACATCCCCCAAGAAATCTAAGGGCGACTCTTCTTATGTGGCTCCTTGAGCCAGGTTCACAAGCTTGAAAGAGAAGAGACAGCTTGAGCCTTCGTCCCTCCTTCTTTTTCTTCGGAGGTGAGCCTGGAACCAACCAAAACTCGAATGCCAGGCCCATATGGCGAGGCGGAGCTTTTTTCGACACATGGCTGTGGGTCAAAACCCTGTACCCCTGGTGAACATCAAAATAGGTGGCGAATCGATGTTCATCCACCCCAAATGGAGCTATAGGTACAAAAAAGAGGGCGTCACTACTTGAGCAGGGATCTATGGCGGCCACCCCTGACATCCAAGTGGCTCTCACTCCCACCAGTGTTCCAAATGTATCGGATAAATACCCCGTCTGTAGTGAAAACGTTGTTACCATACAATTTCATCCAATCCAAAACAAATGCATAAGCAACCGCCCCATTTCGTCCGGTTGTGCCAGCATCATCTCTGCCTTTGACTGTCCAACACCTGCTGGGAACCACTGGATACGTAGCCTCCCCAAATATGCAGACTGTTTCAACCAAGCCCGAGTTCTACAAAATGCCAAAGTTACCAAACCTGATGTCTGCAAAATGACCTCAAGCACAGCTCCTCAACATTGGTCGCGAAGAAAACAAGAGCCATGCAGTCTCCACAAAATCCATGGCATCTGCAGCAACGCATTTCGTAGACCAAAAACAGCTTACTACAAAATGGGTTTACTACTATGTGTGCACCCAACCTGAGGCGTGACCCCCCTTCACCATTTAGAAAAGAAACATCATGTTTATAGGGAGGTCAACCCCTCGCATTTGTGCAGTGACAATTGCAAGGGGGATGCATTTCGGATGTTGTTTTGCTAGGTCCTCAGAGGTCAGAATAAGGGTACCAACTTTTTCCGTAGTCTATTTAGTAGGGGAACCCTCCCAAACAAAAATGCAAAAAAGGGTGAAATAGAGCACTACTGGGGGACCTAGTTTGGGTTCCTGTTGAATCACGCGTGCCAAGACCCCAACTTAACCCGCCGTTCAGAAACCGCGGCGTGATATTTGATTCCCGGGTAAATACCAACAAACCTCCTGGCTTCATTCCCATGGTTTCATTAACTGTGGTGCGAAATGGGAATGGATGTCGCCACCATCCATAAGGTACCTTCAGACCAGCATAAGATAAAACAAAAGAAGCCACAGGAAACCGTTTCCGCATCAAAGTAACCGGCCGGAAAGCCCAAATTGCAAAACACACTCCCCCAAAGTGGGTCTCTCATGCTTGTCCCCAAAAAAGTCATTCCCTTTTTGCCTTCGTTCTTTGCTTTGTCGCCCCCTGGAAAAAATGAGACACCATGCCCAGCAGTGAATTTGATTCCCGCTAAAACCAACTTCAGGGAAAGTAAAAAAAACATGGTCCTTTCAGCAAATGAAGGTTCGAGTCTTTGATTTTCATCGAACAGGGTCTCCATCGAACATCAAACCGGCGGCCCCGCGATCATCGCTCCAAGCCGCTCGTGACTCTTCGAGGCCTTCGTGTCAGCGCTCGAGATGGGCGGGTGCCGGAGCAAGAGCTCCCGGTCCAAGAGCTCCTAAAATCGGCGTCAAAATAGGGGGACCCCAACTTACCCCTTAAAACTCCCAGCCCTGGGGAAGTTCTCATCTTTTACAGACATATAGCCCATGTTACCCAAAAAGTTGAAAAGTTGTGTTTTTAAGAGGTAAGCCAAATAGGGTGGGCGCCGCCCCGAGAAAAACCAAGGTGAAAGGGGTACCCGGGTACCCTCCAAGAATAAACAAGAACTTCACAACCCGAACGCTATGGGCTTGCAACAAACTGGCCCTGTTTTTTGCAGCCACATAAGCTAAACATGAAAAGGATCACAAAACGGAAAACACAAAACAAACAACTTCCCAAGAACAGTGAGGAGAAGCCAGCAGGAATGTCTATAGGACATCTCACTTCCGATCGAGTGGATTGGCCCAAAACAGTCTAAGGCTTTCTGTTTGCCACCGGAATGGTCGTCCCAAAAACATATTTTTAGTCCATGAGCTCAAGAACTGAGACATTTGCAAAAAGAACAAAAACAAGGATTCCTGCAGAATTATCTGTACATGAAAGGCACCAGCCACACAGTTCCTGTGGATGGACTAAATCCACACCAGGCAGTTGGGATTGGTGGTTGATCCCAGTACCCTAGGGCTTCCATTTTAATGATGCAACAAACACATTTGTCCGTTTGGCACAAGCGTTTCAAGCCTGTCAAACGGCCCCTGAGAAAAGGGTCTGGAGACGGTTGCGCTAGGGGGGACATGGGGCACCTGTCCTAAATCAGACGCCCCCTGACAAAATGATTTCCGAACTGGAACATGGAGCTCGTTCCACCCCAGGACAGACGCGTTTATTTTGCAGGAATGTTGCAGGAAATAAGATGCACTACAGGAAAGAACGATCGAAAAAATGAACACATGAAGGCTAGCACCTTGCATACTCACAGAGGTGCATGTGCACCCACAACTGAAAAATGAAACAAAACAAGCAATGACGCACTGTCAACCTAGTGTTAATGAATTGATTGACCAGTGAGCGAGCGAGGGGGAGTGAGTGAGTGAGTGAAGTGAGGTGAGGTGAGGTGAGGTGAGGTGAGGTGAGGTGAGGTGAGGTGAGGTGAGGTGAGGTGAGGTGAGGTGAGGTGAGGTGAGGTGAGGTGAGGTGAGTGTGAACAAATGAGAAAAGTCAATTAATCAACTAATAAAGTAAGTAACATTGCTGCCTCCCCCTCAGGCGGGGAAAATGAACGCCTGGGTTTGCGGGGCCTGAAATGAACAGCGTGGGCTGGTTGGAAGAATTCTCCAAGACAGGGTTCGCTGGACTCCCTTCAAAAGCTGATCAGCTACTGGTGGGCTTGCTCTTGAAACCAAAACCAGAAATGCCGGAAACCCTGAGCAATCTGGGCAGAGGTGCCACGTTTGCTGGAGACTCGGCGTTTTCAGCCATGCCCCAAAGACCTAGAGGCTAGGCCCCTAGACCGGGAGACCTGCCCAAGCTGTCGATTGCTCATTGCCCAAAGGACCCAGAAATCAACGGCTAAGCTTTTCGTTCTGGTGGTCAGCAGGGAATGAGACACCCCATAAACCATCCCTTGTGGCTTCCTTTAAGGGAATCCTCAGGTTCACTCCCACATTTCCTACTCAGCACCAGGTTTTCGTGGATAAAAAGGGAACAACTTGAACGGCTCGACAAAGTCCAGCAAGCCTTCCCTTCAGCCCAGCACTCTTTTCCACGCCCTAGCGCTGTCCCAAAAACAGTTGTTGACCCCTGGTTTGCGTCCGTCTGGGGACAACCTTTGGCCTGCTAGCAATGCGTTTTGGTCTTTGCACCCACCCCCACTCACAATGAATGGAACCGCGAAAGAATTATAAGTTAAAATCCATGCCAGAGACCGTAAAGTGAAGGAAATCCAATGAAACTGCAACGTTTGAGGCCACTTTTGGACATAACCACGCCCAGTCCACTGGTAGAAGAGTTGCACCAAACGAACCACCGTGGAACCCACCTTTTTCAACCAAGCTCTTGGAGGGTATTCTTTCTGCGCACAAAGATGCACTTGTTTGCTGGCTGGAGTTTTTTTTGTTTTTTTTTTTTAATATACATGTCAAATGATTCAGCCCAGCCGCCAATGCGTCTTTCTTTAAGGTACCCTCTTGGAGATTGCTTTGTCAAGGGAGGCCCAAAAGTGGACCTTTTAAGCCCCCCCCCTTTTCTCGTTGGGGGGGATGGATCACCGGTTCCTGGTTTTTCGGGGGCCACGCGTGTGGGGTTCGAAAAAAGCTTCGGCACACGTCTCCTGAAAGCCACACAGGTCCGGGGTAGCCAAGGCGTGGCGCTGGAAGTGGGGCCTTAGGATCTGCAAAAGCTCCGTCTCGCTGTAGGCCGCCAGCTGCTCGCCTCGGAAGCGTCGAGGGGTCGAGGGGTCGAGGGGTGCGGTAGGAGGAATGGGGGGGGTGTCCATCGCTTTGGGGCTTTGGTGGGTCCGATAGGTCGAGAGAAGAAGTGCGGTAGGAGGTATGGGGGGTGGGGCTTTGGGGGGGGTCGATAGGTCGAGAGAAGAAGTGCGGTAGGAGGTATGGGGGGTGGGGGCCTGTGTTGAGGGGACACGCCCCAAAATGGTGGGTTCCTCGTCGGTTTTACCTGAAACTCGACAAAGAAAGGTGTCCTCAAACTAAGACACACCGATCTGGAGGTTCTGTGCCACTGATACAAGGGGTACTGCATTGCAAGCCTATGTTGGCATATATGAGCATCCATACCTCCAAAACCCATACCTGGAAACGCCCTTAAGTGGTTAGTCTCGCGTTGGGCAATTCGACCCAAAAAAGGAAAAGAGTACGTGAGGTAATCATGGCAAAGGCTTTCGTCTTCCAAACTCCGGTCATCAGCTTCTGCGGTTGGAGAAGGTTTCGGGTTAAGGTTGCTAGGCATTCTTTGGCGCATTTTGCTTGGATGTTAGGACTTTAACTATTTGCCAACTAATGGTTTTCCATTAAACCACTAAAAGAAAAAGTTTTAGCAGGGGAGCAGAAAGCAACCGAGAAAATACAAGCCAGGTGTTGCTCATGCCAGATTCTAGTGTACCAGAAGGGCGAAACATGGAAACATCGACCCCTCAGTGAGGGCCAAAGTCTGGCCTTGGCAAAATGAGTGTGCTTGCTTCTTGTGAGGAATCGGACCCCCTAAAAAAATGATTTCAACTGTCCGTTTGCTTTCCCTAGAACAAAAAAAGAGGAGGGTTCCATTGAAAGAAAGGGACACCCGAATGAAGCTACCTGAACCCGCTCTCCACTTCCAGTCTCGAAAGAAGGGCAGACCTTTTGAATGGCATGCAACTGGTGTTGAAACGGGGACATGGACCCCAAACTTTCCCATCCTGCTACTTCATCATGTTCAAGGGAGTTCGCTGACATCGCAACAAAAACCCGCTACACCCGATTTTTTGCAATGGAAACATCCAACTGGGAGTGGCCTCCTGTAGCAAAGCAATCTCAGCGGCAATAGGAGTGGCTTTTGGAGGGCATATTTGATCTTGGTACTACCTCCTTCGAAGGTACTTGGAACCCTTTGGGTATTGCAAGCCCTGGTAGCCATGGGTACTAATGGCACCAAACACATAGCTATCTTCCAGACCAGTTACCGCAAGACAGGCACACATCAAAAGGCGTCCCTCCGTCGCCCGAGAGCCGCCAAAGCCAACTTGGACATGAGGGCTGCCCTTCGGTCAGGCTCCAACTTGAAGGAACCCTGGTCCAAAACGGCAGGCGGCCTTTGTTTTCCCAAAACCGTCTGAACAACAACTTGCTGGTGCGAGACGTAGGGAATGGTGGAAAGAGCCGGAGGATCCCCGTTCAGGAAACCACCAGTTGGACGGTTTATAGTGGTCATTTCTTCATTCCCTACCTATCGCAACAAGAACAAGGCAGCCATACAAAACGAATCATGTCCTCTAAGTGGGACTACTTCCATACTGCGGAAGGACAAAATCCTGCACCACCTAAGGACCCCTGAAATGATGATTTTCCTGTAACTACCAACAAACATAGGTTTTCCATGGCTTCAAAGTGGTGCAGGATTTCGTCCATCCACAGTAGGAGCCCCACATATCCCGTGAAACGCGTCCAAGTGGCGCATGCGCTTGTCCAGGGACGCCTGCTGGTGGGGCAGGTGGCAGAAGGCGCATTGGGCGCCATTGGGACAGCTGCCCTTGGCGAAGAAGGTACCTCCCCAACAGACCGATGTTGCCCCAAGTGCATTTGATGCGTAAATCCTATTTAAGGAAGAGGGGGGGGGGTCCCCAATTCCAGTTATTTAGTCTTCCCTTACAAAGGAAATGGAACCATAAATGGAATTCCAGGGCCACCCCCCTCCCCCAATTCCATATTTAAGGGGGTGGGGTTATGTGCAAACAACAGCGCAAGACAGACGCACGAGCAAGCGAGCGAGCGAGCGAGCGAACGGACGAACCATCCAAACAAACACACAAGCAAGAAAGCAAGCAAGCAAGCGAGCGAGCGAGCAAGCAAATGAACAAACAGCCCAAAAAAGCAAACAGACGCGGATCCAAGCAGAACAAACATAGGACGGAAGGAATGATATGAGGGAGGAAGGAAGCAATAACGACGGGCCAACGCCCAAACACACACGGAGGGCACACGGGCGCCGGCAGAGCTGTGGGTGAGCGCGACTCCCCGTGGAGGGGGAGGGCCAAAGGGCCAGAGGGGCAAAGGCATCCTGACGGGCGAGATCAACCTCAGGGGAAACTCAGCCTTTAATAACTCGGTCGCTTTCTGCTCCCCTGCGAACAGTTTAACTTTTAGTGGTTTAATTCGGAAAAAAAGAATAAAAAAAAAAAAACATTCGTTGGCAAAAAGTTGAAGTCCTAACTGGGGTTGATTGAGATGGGGTCAACCTAAGTTGGTTGCTGTTCACCCCCCTGCAAGAAGTTTAACTTTTTGGGGGGTTTAGTGGAAAACACCTTTATCTCAACCACAAAGTTAAAGTCTAAAGATCCAACCCAATAGCAGTCAAGTTTAGTAAGACTTGATTAAGGCTTATTAGGGCCTTATCCTTAGCTTACCCTAGGGGTCCAACACAAATGTCTAGACAACGGTTTGGACGTGGCGAATCTGTGGACCCGCCCCTTTCTCGGATATTGAAAGAGTACTTCAAGACCACTAAAAAGAACCAACAGGGAGAAGAACAGGTGAAATCCGCAAGAAGCGCGTCCAAACCGCTTGCTAGACATATGGTAAACCGCCCCGAGCAAAACTCCAAACCACCACTCAAAATCACTAATTAGAAGGTTTATGAATTTGAGTGGGTGTCCCAAAATGTCAAAACGGCTTCCTGTTGGTTTCCCTGTAAAACCACAAAAACGGGAACCCTCAAACAAAAAGAACCCCATGTTGGACTGGGACCTACGCTTCAATTGGGCCTCCCTCGTTGTGAGGCTGACTGCATACGGATGTGAGTGCTTCTTTTCAGGGTATCCCTTTGATGATCCCCACCTCGTTAAGGGGTGGGGCGACGTCTGAAAATGTGGGGTTTAGCACCTAAACGTCTAAGCATTTTCTATTATATTTTGGATGCTGGTGGACCTATCAGCAAGGCATCTCGCACATAACCAAGTTACATGTTCATGAACTTGCCCCACTTCAAAAGCCTCTGCGCATGCGCCACATCTGCCCCTCCAGCATCATCAGCTTACATGTTGCGCCTCCCCCAACTTTTGTTGGGGGGGAGGGGTGAAAACAACTATATAATTTGCGACGTGCCCGGGTGTCAAGTTACAGTTTACCCCTCCCCCCAAAAAACAGATATACAAACCTTGGCCTTGCCCCTTACATTCCTTTTTTTTTGTTGCGAGGGGTGCGTGCAAATTACATTTTCAGACCTCCCCCAGCCATTTTCGGGCCCTAAGGGGGGGAAACCACCAATTTTGAGGCCACCCATTCAACGCTTGACCCAGTATGGAGATCCCCCCCACCCACCGAAGAGAAACAGACAAAACAAAAGGTGCCCGCCAAGAAGACCCGCCGATGGTTTTGCACCGTAGAATGGTTGCATAAGGTTAACTCACTTGAGTGGATGGCCAAAAAAAAGAGTCCAAACTGTATATTTGCCACTAAAACGGTCTTCCAAGAAGTTTAAAGTTCATGAACTCAGGAAGTGAGTTAATGCTTATGTAAGATATTCGGGAAGTACCCAAAACATCATCGGCTATGTAAGATTTATTAAGCAAATGGAAGTGGGAACGCCATCGAACAAAGGGTCCATTGTCTTCGAGGCAGACGCACGTGAATGCTGAGACCGATGCATCTGCACAAAACATATAACACCCATCTGCGAAGCGATGCTCACTAATTAAGTCGATCGGCGAAACAACCTACTTGCTTCCAACAAAGTGGCCTAGCCGAAAATATGACGCCCAGAACACTTGCGAAATCAGGATGTGGGACACCAATAACTCCTACCCGGGGAAAAAATGGTCCGCGCACGAACAAACTCACCTGGGTCCCGTCTGGTGCTGAAATTGGGGGAACCGTCACAACACACACAGGCACCAACAAAAAGAAGTGGGCCCATGCTTCAACAACACCACGCCTAACAAATCAATAGGCCGTGCTTCCCTTGCCACTCACCTCAAAAGGCTACGAACTCGCCCCCAAGAGGGGTCATTAGGCTTGGGCCTTGGTGAAGCACATGGAGTTCCCGCCAGAAAATTAGAGGAGAAATCGGCTCCCCGAAGTTCGGAGCTTCAGAAACACCTGCTTGCTTGGAGAATCATACCACTTGGTGAGTGGTTTGTAACCCCAGTTGAGTTCCTTGAGCGGGCGTATGTGGGGTAAATCCTGCTTGTACATACTAGCCAGGCTGGTCATTCAAGCATTTTACCCTACATTCAAATATGAATCATGCAAGGAACTTAAAATGCCGCTAAACAAAAAGGCATACCGCGCCGCAGGCAAAGAAAAAACAAACGCGAGGAATTCACCTTAGCAAAAGCCCACGGCGGCTCTCCCGGACTTTTCCCGGTTCCAACACGTGGCAACAACTGCAACACTTTATCCCGAGAGCGCGGGACAATTCGGACTGGAGGGAACCCCCTACCTAGGGAACCAAAACCCTACGTAGGTCCCACTTGAAAAGCTGGGGTTTTTGAGGAAACCCCGAATTTTTGCTGGAACCCGTCTCTCAAGTTTCTACTTTTTCCTGGCTGAAACTTGCCCACAAGCTCAATGAGTGCAAACCTGGAGCGAGATATATGCGGGCTGTTTTCACAGATCATTTTGTCTTGGCGTATCCAACATCCACGCGGTGCTTATAAGAATCCTGCAAAATGCTAAGCAGGTCACAGTCCGCATTTTGTAGCACATCTTTTTTTCTCGGCCCTCGGAGTCGCGCCCCCCGTAATCTTCTCTGAGTTGCGCTGGAAAAGCTGAAGCATTGCTGCGGCATTCTACATTTGAATATGTAGCCTTTAGGGCGCGAAGTATGGGCTCCAAACTTTGCTTTGGCATCAACGCAAGAAAAACCTGACCCTGGCTGATACGATTTGACGACAAGGAGGCGGGTGAAGGATAAGCCATGGTGGTTGCACACGGACCCTTAATTACATGTCAGTAACTTGTCGAGCTCAAAAGCCACAACACTTTCATTGGGTGCCATTTCCGCGACCTCCCAGAACCCATATGTTTTTCTTTGTTTTTTGGTTTTGCACGGGTTGGTACTGGCTTTGTACAAGTTTTGTACTGATTGTGGAAAAACCTGGGTTTTGCCAAAACACGGGTTTTGAGGGCGAATTACGGGTGCGGGTGTGTTTACGGGTTTTGTACGTTTTTTTTGGTTGTTGTTGTGTGTTTTTTTTTTTTTTTTAACGGGTTCGGCAGCAGAACCGGCAGTTTCGCCAACCGGAACACCAAAAGTCAGTAAAGTGTCTCTCCAGCCTCTTCGTCGAATGCTCCAAACAAGCTTGCCTTGTTCAAGCATTCCTCAACCCTGGCACATAAGCTAAGGATGTTCAAATCCAGGCAACTCTGCATGAACAGCGAATACAGTAATTCACCCCAAGAAACCTTCAACAGGTTCCCGGAAGTGCCTTGGGATCCTTTCAATGAGGTTGATCCATCGGCCTTCATTGTTTGTCTTTGTCACTCTTCCAGCCTGCAATCCGTTCGGTTCTTGCATCAAAAGCCGGGGTTTCAGAAATCCAACTTGGAGGATTTCCATCAGTGTTTCCAAAGAAGACCGACCAATTCGCAGCTTCTTGGTCCCCTAGGCTGAAGCAAGACGGTTGTAGATCTGCAATGGTACGCACAGATGTCCTGAAAAGTTGGCTCTGTTCAAAACCCCGGGGTGTTGAGGCGAAAGCCGGGGTTTTCAGGCAAAAGCCGGGGCTTCTCAGTGTAATACAGGAATACCCAGGGTTTTGGGGACCCGACAAATTCAGGCGTGTGGGTTCCCTAGGGTTCAGGTCGGACTTCTGGAGCGAACCGCCGATTCGGACCTCTGGAAGGAACCGATTCGGACTTCCTTTGGCGCTGATGTTTCACGAGTTAGCCACGAACGGTTTTCTAACCAAAGTAGGGGGTCATACCAGGGTTTCAAAAAAGAGCGTTCCATATAAACCCATGGCCATGTGCGACCCTTTGGCGCTGATTTTTCGTGGGTTTCAAAAAATGGACAGATAGATTCAGCCCAAAAGAAACTGAGGGGCCGTGAGCCCACGAGTCCTGGGAGCTGTGCAGCGTCTCAGCCCTTTGCCGCAGCTGCGCCACCTGCGTCCTTGAAGCTGTCTCCTCACGACACAGCTCCGTCCACATAGCCCGCTCCGCCTCGAGGGGTTTTGGCCGCTCATAGTTGGTACAGTAATGTCCAGTTCGGATTACTCAGGAAAACTCTACTAATCACGAAGGAGGCCCTTGTTTCGTGAGGAATGTATTCGTTTTCGGGGTGATTTCTCTGATTCGATTCGTCTGCCCAGAGGCTCCTGGGGCTTTCAATGGAAGACCCGACCCCTCCATTAGACACGCTTCGGTGGTTGGGGGTCTCAAAACCAGGTTGTTTGAAGGCCCTGAATCAATCGGGAGCCTCTGGTTACAGGAAGATCTACAGAAAGCGGCCAAGTTTTCGGCCGCAAAACACCATACATCAGCTGTTTTTTTTTCAGCCCCAAAGTAAATAAGCTGTTTCCCTCTAGAATGTCCTGCACCCAACCCATTGAAGAACGATGTTCTGGCGCGACCTGAGCGGTGCTTTCCCCCTTTGCTGGTTAAATTAGATCAACCAAGGGAACGTGCACTGTGCCATACGTCAATGTCTTTGTGGGATATATCATAAAACCCGCTCGCCGCACTGAAAGTGTAAAGTGGCTGGGAACTGCCAAGGCTACTTCCTGGGAAATCGTCAGCACCCAAACAAAATAGCTTTACGTCTCTTCGGGGCCAAACAAAGCTGCCCTTTCCCAACATACCAATCCAACAAGTTCTTTGAATTCCGCTGGCACAACCCAAACTGCGAGCTGCACCATGCTTTCCAGGCATCCGAGGTTCTTTTCACAAAAATGGCCATGGACATTGGGCGTTTGAGTCGCTGAAAGCACATGGGGCATGAATCGTTACCCAGCGCTCATAAGAACAACGGCAATCTTGACTTGGCAGTTGATTTCAACAGAAACCCTCCCAACAAAGAAAGAACCACTCCACTTGAGGTTTGGGTTGGGAAAATCCGGCTGACAAACCAGGAACACCCACGCCTCTCATAAGGACTGTTAGGTGGACTCTTTCGTTTACCCTCCATTTGCTTAAGCCCCCAGGAAAATATATTTCCAGTAGTGATAGATTCCCTTTAAAACCCACAAGGGGCAATCAAACAAATAACACTCCTTTCAGCAAATGGAAGTTACACCAACGGTATTTCGGCGTTTCTTCTTCGAGGCTCGGATTTTTATTGTGGGCCATGGAAGCTACAAGGAAGCCACCTTTGGGGTTCCCAGGGCAGGCCGCCCGTTCCCATCCGTTTCCTTTGACCCGTTGAGGTTCTAACACATCGCTTTCGGATGCTCGCATGACTGTCCTGCGCAAGCGATGTCTTCGAGCCCCTTAAGCGGGTCGGACAGTGGTAATTGCCCCTACGTGGGTATGTATCAAACTAGTGGAACAGTGGTACCACTACTACGTGGGTATGCAACAACATAGTCGAGCCACACCCCAAAAAACACAAAAACAGATGTCCCTTTGCGCCAGCCTCCATTTACTTTTGCCCCTTGGAAGAAACAAGTTCGATGATGGACCTTCAAAAAACTGAGTGGGTATAATAAGACATACCCTCCCACCAACTAACATGAAAGTTTACAAAACCCCTTTCCAAAATGAAAGTAGACTTTCTACAGAATTCTGCGCATGTTCATGTCCGGTGGGATAGCATTCATTTCAGCCGACAAAGCCAACCATTTGGGCTACCCTCCACCCGACGTTCGTCCTCACTTGGCTCATCTTCCTAGAGGGACCGGGTCCCCGCGTCCAACGACCCACGGCTTGGTGACGGGCACCCTCACGCGCGAGGGGTCTGTTTTGGCTGTGGCTCAAAAACATGCAATGTTCACCCCGGATTGATAAACCCCTGGTTGATTAATAGGGGGGGCGTCCCCTTTTAGTGGGGATTCATCACTTTGGAGGGAACACCCCCCTCATAATGGGACAGGTTTATTAATCCTGCGTCAACATTACCAAAATGGCACCTTGGTAAATGGAGTCCAAGACTACTGTGGATGGACGAAATCCTGCACCACTTTGACACCATAGGACGCCATTGTTGGTTGGTATTTACAAGGGAATCATGATTCCCGTGTTTGTCAGGTGGTGCGAATTGGATTTCGTCCATCCACAGTATCACCTGCGGAACCCTATCTTTCTAATTCTGAGCCACACCCTTAGCGCCTTGCGGGATCTCAAGGCGGGACAGCTGGCACTGCGAGGTTCAAATTCGCGGAACCTCGAAGGCTCGTCGATGAAGGTCCGGCTGTAGCACAGCCGATCCATGGCCCTCACCTCTTGCGAGAGATGCAGGCGAAGGAGACATGGAATGAGCCCTAGAACAACCATCCCTTGCTGGCTTTCCTTTCTTCAGGGACACTTTTGCCTGGGTTCATTCCCAAAACGAGCCATTCTCTGTCACACAGCTGAGAGAGAAACAAACATGCGATGGGACTGAGGTTGCCATCGCCAACTTTGGCAAAGGAACAGAGGGAACCCAATGTCAACCATATGTGGGTCCCAGAGGATCCCAGGCAAGCCTACATAGTAGGTAACCATCTATCTTCCTTTTGGTCTTAAAAGGGTGCTTTTTCTTGGTTGCCTATACAGCTAACTGGATCCACTGCACTTGGTTTGCTTGCAATACTGTGGATGGACGAAATCCTGCACCACCCAAGAACCACTGGAATGATGATTCTTGTGTGATTACCAACCCTGGGTTTTCATGGTTTCAAAGTGGTGCGAACGGATTTCGCAACCATCCACAGTACAGGGGCATCCGGATCAGTGTGGACTACCTGAGCTCAGGCACCTTGCGTCGCGAGTGGTCACGGCCTCGAGCCCTGGACTTCTTTGGCCTTGAGAAGCTCTGGGAACGCCCGGCCGTGCGCCTGCGATTTCCGGTTGTCGCCAGTCCTTTTTGGGGGGGAGCCTGTCCATTAACATGGAACCTCACTGAAGGGTCCTGGGTTTGCCGGGAGGTTGCGCCATCTGCTTTCAGATTTCACCCGACTGCCCCCAAAAAAAAGGAAAAGAAGGCAGCAGCGGGGATGGAGTGGCGAAACAAGAGAAAGGGACTTGTCTTGACCAAAAGTCTGGCTTGGTAGCCTCCATTTTGCGACCGTGCGGTCTCCCTGGATGATCATCCATGCTCGTTTGCGATCCGTCTTTAATCCAGCCAGTTACGCCGGGTAGGGTTCGAATGTCTCTGCGCACTTCAGGGAAGGCCCGCTTTGAAGAATGACTGTCTGGATCCCTCGCATTCGGCAACCTTTGGAAGCCTGTCAAACCATAGCTAACAATGAGGGGCGTCATGGGGCGTCCAAATCCTTAACACCCCATACGGTTACACCAGCAAAGGGTGTCCAAATCCGACACCCCAAACAGAAAAACACTCTTGGGGCAACTGAATGCACCCGCCCCCCCCCCCCCCAAAAAAAAAACACAAATGTTGCCCGCACCAGCCTCGGCCTCCAGGCTTCTTCGTTTTTTTGGTGAAGGAACTGTTTTGCCCGTGGGATCCACTGACTTTCGGCTCCAAAGTTTGGACCTGAAGCATGGGTGTTGCTTTTCCTCCTGAGCCGCCAAAAGCAAAATTGATGTTTTCCTGTGGGCTTGCTGAAAAAAGACACAGAAAAAGACACGTACCCTCGAAGAAAGCAGAACCATGGAGGTTGGTGCTTTCAAGTGGGAAACCTGACAATGGCGTTTGGCAAAAAGAGGAAATGCTCTCTCCACATGTCCCAAGAAAAACAACAGCAGTCACCCAGGATGCCTGCAATTTTGCGAGCCGAAACAATGAACTTCCATTGGCTGAAGTCCCCCGGAGAAAAAACCTAAGTATTGCAGTAAGTGATAGGTTCCCTTAAAAACCAACAAGGAAAAAGTAAAACGGTTTCTTAAGCAAATGGAAGTGAACACATGAAAAGCTAGGGCAGTGGGCAGATGTCACTATGTTCCCGACCACTGGTCAATTCATATCAACTTCTCCAAACCGCATTGTTCAACAAGGGTCCATTGAACGAAATGAAAAGCACCGCCAAATTTCCCCGCGAGGTCGCCTTAGCCGACAGCCACTGGAACAGCCAGGCCCGAGGCTTGGGGCCCTTCGCTTGGGAGAGGCGCATTGGATTTTCGGCCTGGTGCCAGCTCACGGGAACCTTGTGGCACTTTGACTTGCTCCAAATCCGGCTGGAGTTGAAAAAAAAAAACACCACGACTCTGGTGTAGCGGCTTGAACCGCCGGCCGTGTGACGCATTTTGGAAGCAACCGGAGTTGGAGGCTTGAACTGCGAATGGCAGAAAGTCGAACCTTGGCCATAAAGTCAGCCATGCAACTTGTTGCGCATGGGTCGAGAGGATCCCTTTGTCCATGTCCCCTTCGAAAGTCAAAAGCTCGACTGTTTCCGTCATAAGCTCATAAATCGGTGGGGGTACCCCCTCTGGGTGGATTTAAATGAAAGCCAAAGGGAGAAGAAACACCATATCGGGGGCTCCCAACAACACCCCCCCCCTGCATGTTCTATTGCAACGCATCGGAATTCCGAAGGGCAAGGGGCAAAACATGCAGCCGGCCCGCTATACACGCCAGAGCCTGTGCCGAGCAAACCCTCCCCGCAGGGATTGGCAGGTTTGGACAAATCAAACATCACCTTTTGTCCTATTGCGAAAAGAGACAAGTATGGGTGCCTTGTTTGAGGGTACTCCTCTTTGGTCCTGTTAGTGAAAAACCAAAAGGAACACAACATTTGGGGTGATCCTTAACAAAGACACACCGAAATTAGCTATTGGCATCCAGTCTCGATCAATACATTTCAAGGCATTGAAAGAGAAAACCCTCTCCCCCCCTTCCCCCCACAACTTTATTATCAACCAGTCTGAGTTGCTCTTCCCTCTTGAGCAGTCGACCTCGATCACTCTTCGCAGGTGGAGTGGAGAAAATTCAAATTTGTTTGCAAAAGGTCAAAGGGGCGATCCGGTCATACCCAAGATGAGTTATCATATTCACAAACCAAATGCTTCCATGTGCTTAAGCCCCCTGGGGGAAACATAAAAATGGATAGATTCCATTTAAAACCAACAAGGAAAATACTACATTCTTAAGCAAATGAAAACTTGCGACATGGGAGTTCCCCGTCGGGCTAGCTGCTCGCAACCGACTCCACTTTCCGAATTCAAATTAATTCATTCGAGCCGGGTTGCACAATTCCTCGCTTGCAAGGGGTGCGTGCTTGAAACATGCCAAGGAACATGATGTCAAGCACATACTAAAATATGCATCACGTGCGCAACCATGAAGAACATCCAGCACCCCGATGTGTCGTTGAGCAAAAAATTTAAGCCAGCAAACAGGTCTCTCCTGCATCAGCCGGCACGTCTCGCTCAGCGTCGTAGACCCCGGCACTCTGTTGCCGGGATCCGGGTGGAGAACTCGAGGACCAACTTCGTTGGCCTTTCCCTCGCCTCCACGAAAAGAATGTCTTGCAAGCAGGGTCCCCCATTTCATTTCGAGACAAGGTCAGTGAGCCGACTCCAGATCCTCGAGATTTGCTCCAAGCCGAGACTGGGGACGCGAAGAATGAAATCGGAGCCCGGATTTGACTCTGACAGTCCTGGTCTGCACGAGCGTGCGAAACCCATTGACCTTTGGTTCTATCGGACTCTGACGGTTTCATCGGCCTTACCACTAGGAGAACTGGCAGCTTGGTAAATGGAACCAAAGACTACATGCTGCGTATGCCGCGCTCTTGAAAAACCGAGCCACGCCCGTTTGAGTGGTTCTCCTCAAAAAATATGTGTTTTCTGACTGCGCCTCAAGAATTACCAGGAAACCAACCGCCAGGGGTTTAGACAGTTGAGAACTCATGTGCCCCGGCCGGCGCGAAGGTGCGAAGCGAGTTTCTGTCAGAGGCAAATTACGGGCAAAGCTTTGGTGGGACACCAGTGGGATCAACAAATGGGAAGCCCACTTTTTAAGAAGCTGCTAAGCTTTCAAAAAGCTATCAGCTTCATACGGGTTACTTCCCCATTCTGTCCAGAGATTCTTCTCACCCAATAAACCAGTGAAAGCGCTACTCATTTAAAACAAGCACGTGCTTGAACATGATGGGGAAGCAACCCGTAGAAGCTTCCCAGTGCTGACAGCCTTCTACGAAAGGCTGGGCAAACAGTAAATCTGGCACAGGTACATTGCCGGGTATGCACCGCAATATGGACTAAACGTATGGGCACGTGCTCATACATCCGACAAACTCATGGCATGCAGGACCATTTTCAGCCACCACCCGGATGTCTCTCCCGATTGCTTGGCCCTTCCAAAAATGAGACGTTCAGATGATGCTTCACATAGGCACCTGAGTTCAACAAAACAAACCAACTGGGGTATTGCAACATGGTTTGCTGGAGAACAGCCTACCCGCAAAAAAAAGAAAAAAACACGTTGAGGAGACTTGACAAATGCTCATGGGAGCTGCCCTTGCGACCCTTGCAATTCGACATGGTCAAAACTCATGGCCGTCAGAAATGCGTTGAATTCCTCCAAGTCCATCCCAACGGTCGTTACAGTTCCCTGACGTCACTCCAAAGGGTAACCTGAACGGGAAGGAGGGGTATCCATCGATTTGCTGAGGCCCCATGGGGAAAATAAACATATTTCCAGTACTGATAGATTCCCTCTAAAACCAACAGGGGGGAAATACAACATGTTCTTAAGCAAATGAAGTATATGGTTAGTCCATCACAAGGTCGCGATGGCTCCCTTACATCGCCTTACATCACTCGGGGAGCCCCCGGAAGTCAGGGGTCGATGCTTAGCAACCTCGAATATAAAGCTGTTTCCAGCTTTGGGAACCCTCTTTGGTTGGGGGGTGGGGGGGACCAGCCATTTTTGCGACTGGCTGGTGCGCCAAAACTGCGGGTACTGAAAATCATGCTTAGTTTTTGGTTCCCTCAAGAGAACCAGGTAAAATAAATGGCCCTTAAGCCTTGGTTGCTATTGATCCCCCTTCAAAAAGTTGAACTTTTGGTGATTTAGTCATTTAGTGGAAACTCCCTTGATTTCCTAAAAAGTTAAAGTCTAAAGATCCAACCCAGTGGCGGTCAAGACAAAAAGTGTCTTCACCACGGCGGTTGGGGACTTTGGATCGGGAATGGCCGGAAGTCGCATCACTGATCTCCGGTCCGGAAGTCCCTCAGCTGCTCCTTTCGGCTTTCGGCTTTCGGCGTTTGGCGTTTGGCTTACCCATGGTTCTAGTACCTTCTTTTGGATTGGGGGAGTTGAAGCCTAGTTGCTGGAGCCAAGTCACCAAGAAAGCCGAGGTTGTTCTTTTCTCGTGGTTCTAGGGCCATTCTTTCCAGGGTCTGGATCTTTCTAGAAAACCTCCCAAAAATCCCAAAGCCCGGCTCTAGGAAACGGATCCGGCTTTTGAAAAGAAGGATGGTTGTAAAGAATGGTAGGGGTTGATCCCCCATTCTTTTCAACCATCGTTCTTTTCAAAAACCGGATCTGTTTCCCCTGAAATTATGATGGTTTTCTGAAAAGAAGGATCCCTGGAAAGAATGGAAATGGAAGGTGTTCCCTAGAATGGACTTGGAATCAATTCCCTTAGACTGGCGGGTGTCCGTTGATCGCTGCGATCGCTGCGCTAAATGAGACATGGAAGAAGCCCAGGCCAAAGGGTCAACGAGGAAAGGAAACCACTAGTTGCATGCGATAGGAATGAGGAGTTGAGCCCAGGCTTTGGTTTTCGAATGGAAACCACCAGTTAGATGGTTTAATTGGTTCGGGGTCATTCCATTTCCCTGCGATAGGAGGCACCCAGCTAGTTCCCGCCCAGCTCCACAAGCAAAACAGGTGCACCCAAGAGACACACCCAAATTTGGGAAGCTGGAGCTGGTACCGTTTTCAGGTTGGCAAGCGTTCAGCAAAGGAAAACCGAACTCCTTTTTCGTCGGCCCACCTCCCTTGACATATTTACCCAAACCACCACCTCCGATTGATTTCCCGTAGAGTTGAAGGAGGGAGGAAACGAAAGGCCCCACCCAGAACAGGCCCTGTCCTGACCCATATCTCGGGCACACAGAAGGTACAACATCTGTACTATTCAAGGATTTTCTTCAATACGTCGACTCCTTTTTGTTCAGACAAGTTTAGGCGGCAATCCCATGGTTTGGACCCAACAGACGCCGGCCATTTGCAACGACAAACCGACAAACGGCTCCTGCAGAAGCCCAGGCAAATGCCCCGAGACGCGAAAGCACAAGCCCACCAATGCTGCCAAAGGGAGGCGGACCAACCGCTTTTCAAGAAGCCTTGGCCGGATGGGAGCCAGGCCGAAATCCGTCCGAAAATCACGAGACCCGAAAAACCTCCTGAATTTCCATTGCAACTTCCTGGATGTTCCAGTATCCCTCCTACCTTAGGGGGGAGTGTCCAGTCTTTTTTCCTAGGGAAAATGGAACTACAAACAGAGATCTCCAAAAAAATCACCCCCACCCCCAATCAACCATTTTTAAGGCACCCGGCGGGGATGTTCCAGTGACTCACGTCCAAAATAGGTCGGCTCGAACAAGACCAACCACCTGGATCCCCAAGTAAGCCACTCTTCTCCAGCCACTTTACCCAGTAGCCCACGATTTAGCAAAAGTAGCTGGAAAATAAGGGGCAACTGGCGATCCAGGCAGGTCGGAATGTTCAGCAGGCCCTGAATCGGATTCGGACTGGGACCAAACGCAACATAAACCTTCATGGCCGCGAAAAATGCCTGCGAAACAGATGGCACCTTGGCAAAGGGAAACTTAAAGGCTAGGACCTGCGTAATCCTGGAGCAGTTTTCACCAAATGAATTTGGAGCCCAAGGGGTCTGAGTGCTAAGTGCCCGGTTGAACTCCAAGACAAAAGAGATGAAGGGCGGAAAGCTTGCGAGTGCGAGAAGCAGGGAATAATTAAGACATGGATTGGGATTCCCGAATCAAGGACACCATGGGATGGATGGTTTTTCTTGGGGGGCGTTCCATTTCTCATTTCTTGCTTAGCGCACCAGCAAGAGAGGCATATCCTGTAAAAAATAGAAACAGCCTTACACTACGCCACTTCCCCAGTACGGAAAAAGAAAACGCGGGCTCTTCGCCGATAACTTCCGAAGTGGATTGGAAGTCTAAAAAGTACTTGCAGAACTTCAATTTGCGTCCCCCCCCCCGACAAATGAGAACATATTTCCAGCAGTGAAATCGATTCCTTTGAACACCAACCAGGGAAACATAAACAACATACACTCTCATCCACTAACATGGAACCTACCAAAGGGTCCCTTTTCAAGGAATATGATCCTTCAGGACCCCAAGATGTCAGGTTCCATGTTTATGGAAGGGAGGGTGATCCTTTCAGGACGTCAAAGTCCGTGAGCTCAGGACGTGAGGAAGCCCCCCCCCCCCCCCGATTTCTGGCAATGCAAAAATTCTGCCATATAGGCTCAAGAATAGGACCCGAAAATGGGTTGCCCTGGGTGCACGGTGCGGTCCCAAGGACTACCTGCGGTCCCAAGGCCTTGATTTTGACCCATACCCAGCGAGATGAGCACAAGCTTAAGGCCTTCTCCGGGAGCCCAGTTCCCACAACCCCGAACCGCCCGAACTTTCCAACCCTCCCGGCTTCCCAAAACACACATTCCTAAGCCTAAGGCAGATGTGGCACCAGGTCGAATAGAACGGGCTATGAAAGTCAAATTGATTCACCTGGGGATTCTGTCTGCCCATCTTGGGGCCTTCCCTTCCATCAAATCCATAGCCATGGGTGCCCGATCTTGGTCATATGAAAAACTCCACCGATCTTGGTCAGTATTCAACCCACCGGGGAGTTAAATGCTTTCTACCGCAATCACGTAGGTGTGTCTTAAATCATCAATCGATATCCCTCAAGATGCGTCTCCCTTTGGTTTTCCCTTAAGCCCACCCCAAACAGCGTAACACGTGGACACCCTCCAAACGCTCAAACGCTGCGATGTGCAAGAGAGGCGGGGAATGAGGGAATGCACCTAGGCATGCCCTTAAAGGAAACCACAGGGGATGGTTTCTTTCTCGGGGTCATGCCAAGTCTCCTTCCCTGCCTATCGCAGCAGCAACCTAGATAGCCAAGTTGCTGTTTATATCAGTCACTGTTGCTGGTTTTTGGATGGTAAAGTAGATGGAACAACAGCAACTAACGGTCCTTTCTGCTCCCCTGCTTAAAGTTTAACTTTTAGTGGTTTAATGTGGAAAACCCACGAGTTGGCAAAAAACACATATACAGCCCTAAGATCCGTTCCCGAAATCCGCCAACTTGTGTGAGGTTCTAGTTGGCGTCTATCCCATGAAACCCGAGGGAAATTTGAGAGGAAGTAGACTTCCTGTAGGAAATGCCCACATCTGTGATACAAGAAGCAGGTCCCCCGAAATTTATACCCCGCCATTCAAAAAGGACATTTCCCTTGTATCACAGAAGTGGTTGGATAAAGCCCGAGTGATCCCAAAACCCTGCTTCTGTGATACAACGAAGCAGGCCTAACCCCAAAGACTGCTGATTCCCATGTAAAGGGGGAGATTCCAACTTGCATCTTGAGACTCAAACGAACAAAGGGCCATGGGCCAGGGCCATGGCGTCGTTTCCCCGAGGCGCTGCCAGGACTGACTGGGCCTGGGCAGCGCGGGCTGTGGATGGTGAAGCGCCAGGTTCCGATCCAGCAGCTCCTGGATCCCAGCGACGTCAGCGAGCAAGCGCGCGCGCCCCGATCCAGCTCTTGGGGTTTTCGCACGCTGGGGAAATAGGCGTCCTTCTTGTGGGGAAATAGCCGGAACCACCAGATTACATGGAAACCTTCGGGGAACTTCCGGAAAAACGGCAGGGGGAAATAGATGGCCTTGGGGGGGAAATGCATGAGAAACAACCAGGTAAACCAGGAATTGCCCTCTATTTTTCAAGCAAAACAACCAAACGGGACACCTATGGTGCTGCCCGGTGACGTCTTTTCGAGAACTTGGTTGACGTTGGAAGGGGAGCAACGATTCTCAAAATTTTAACAGTTAGTTAAGTGGTTGGATTTCACCCAGTAAACCACAATAAGCAAAAAAATAAAATGTGTCCCAACAACAACCATGAGAAAGTCTGCCCCGAAAGTGAGGCCCAGGCCCAGTCTAGATGGAGCTGATGAGATATCTACATGGAAATCCCCACAATGACGACGTCCCCGCAGATCAATGACAAAAAATATCCGTTCATATGTGAAAATTGTCAAAAACCCTTGCGTGATTCAGAACCCCTTCAAGAAGGAAACATGCAAACATCCCCATGTTTTGCTTTAGGCGAAGATTATAGTGCCAAAATCCGTGAAAGAACCAGCCGTATCTTTGCCCGTCGTGCTTGGGTTCACCGATATCAGATTCGAGATATCAGACTTCACAAGACGCCCAAGTATGCAGGACTTCTAAGGGTGCTGTATTGCAGCCTAGGATTACACCCACCGAGTGACTGGCAAATGCCCCCCATTTTGGCATCCCGGGTGAAACCGTCTTCTTGAAGCATGTTGGGTCATTTCCCAGGGTGTAACCCCAGAGCGTGATACACAAATATACAAAGCTCGCAAGAAGCTGGTTTACCCCCATCCCATCCCAAGCGCTGAGCCTGCCCTTTCCCCCCCTTCCCTCCCAAAAAAATGTGGGCTGTCCCTCAAGAACCAAGAAAGCAAAACACAAAAAAAACTCGAAAAACCAGCTGAAACAATGAGAACATATTTCCAGCTGTGAAATCGATTCCATTCAACACCAAAAGCGGAAATGAACAACACACACTCGCATCCACTAACATGGAACCCACTAAAGGGCCTCTTTTTAAAGGACAACGGCTTTCCAGGACCCGAAGATGTCAGGTTCTATGTATGGAACGGAGCATATTCCTTTCAGCAAATGGAAGCTCCCCGCAATTTCTGGCAATGAATTCTCCCATGGCTGTGGGCCAATAACCCCAAAACTCGACCCCAAAATAGGGTACTCATGGTACTCCCAAAACTGGATACAAATGGGGCAACCCCCACAAAAACCATCCTCAGCGAAAATGGAAGTTCCTTGGCACCGTATTTTCAACGGGAAAGCCACATCCGTTCAGCCGATGGAAGTTGCAGGGACCCGTATTTCAACGGGAAAAAACAAAACCACACGATAATAAAAACATTACTTTGCTTCGAGCAACCCCCACCCTCCACACTCACGAGCTTACGACCGTGAACACGGTTGTGTGAATTCAAGCATGGTTTTCGAGTGGCTTGGGGCCTATGACTGCTCAACAAGCTTTGCATTGAGAGCCTTATCCACCTGTCTGTGTGTCAAACTCCACTCGTCTGCGAGCCAATCTCGAGAACTCAAACATCTGTTCCGTTAACAAAAGCCAAGCCCCTTCCAAAAAGAAACCCGGTGGCGGATTAAACGAAGCTGCATAGTCACAACCCAAAGCAACACAAAAGCATCACCCTTTCCGAGCCTCAGGGCACACTCAAAACACGAAAGTACCACCATGAAATGTAAACCCAACTGTGCGCCGGGCGGGACATTAAGCAACACCAGACTGGCGAGCTGCTCTGGCGGGATACTGGCGAGATCCACTGGCGAATACTGGCGAGCCGCTCCGGCTCGATACTGGTCGGATACTCGGCAGGGTCCACCGGCAAGGGATACTCAGCGGGATACTCGACGGCACTGGCAAGCTACTGTGGGATACTCAGCGCCAGCAAGATACTCGGCAGGATCCACTGGCGGGCTGCTCTAGTGGGATACTCGGCGGGATCCACTGGCGAGCTACTCTGGCGGGATACTTGGCGGGATCCACTCTGGGATGCTCAGCGTCAGCGGGGTACTCGGCGGGATCCACTGGCGGGCTGCTCTGGTGGGATACTCGGCGGGATCCACTGGCGAGCTGCTCTGGCGGGATACTGGCGAGATCCACTGGCGAATACTGGCGAGCCGCTCCGGCTCGATACTGGTCGGATACTCGGCAGGGTCCACCGGCAAGGGATACTCAGCGGGATACTCGACGGCACTGGCAAGCTACTGTGGGATACTCAGCGCCAGCAAGATACTCGGCAGGATCCACTGGCGGGCTGCTCTAGTGGGATACTCGGCGGGATCCACTGGCGAGCTACTCTGGCGGGATACTTGGCGGGATCCACTCTGGGATGCTCAGCGTCAGCGGGGTACTCGGCGGGATCCACTGGCGGGCTGCTCTGGTGGGATACTCGGCGGGATCCACTGGCGAGCTGCTCTGGCGGGATACTGGGTGGGGGCGCGGTGTAGAAGCATCGCAAACGCGGATTCCATCATAAAATCTAACAACCCCTTCCTGTCAGGTGGGGAATAACGGATCAAAAACACCGAAAAACAACCAACAAATAAAACGGAGAACACACAATGGACAATTAACAACACGCAGAACCAAAAGAAGCCAGCGGTCCTGGAAGCCCACGGCGGCCGGGTTTGCAAGGGCATGGCGTTGGAAGTGGGGCCGCAAAGTCCACAGAAGCTCCGCCTCGCTGCAGCTGGCCAGCTGCTCGCCTCGAATCGATTCGAGGCTTCGAGGCGCAGGTCTTCGAAACCTGCGATACGGTGGATGGTTGCGAAATCCATCCCACGCACCACCTGATGAGTCGATTCCCTTGTAAATGCCAAGCAGCAATGGCTTCCTATGGTTTCAAATGGTGCGAAGTGGATTCCGTCCATCCACTGTAGGTAGGGAATGAGACTTGGAATGAACCCCGGCCAAAGCGTCCCCGAAGAAAGGACACCACCAGCAAGGGAAGTTTTTTCTAGGGGTCATTTCTCATTCCCTGTCACCAGCAAGTCTTGGAAGGTCGGTGCCGGTAAGGCGGCCAGTTCGGCCTAGGAAAAACCGCCCAACCACAGAAGCGCGGCGGTTCTCTTCTGATCCAAACGCGGATGTTTAAATGTTCATCCCCTTTGTGCCCCCGAATGAAGGAAGCCACCATGGCTTTGCTGGGGTCATTCCCAGAGAAAAAGCAAGCTTTAAAAGCCGGTCACTTGAGGCCGATAGACCCCAATTTCCCATTAAGCCAAAGGTGGGAAGTATACTTGGATGTTCGATTTGCCAAGTTCGCAAGTGAGGATCGCCGATTAGGGTTTTTCCACCGCTAAGAACAAGCTTGAACGGGGGACTTATAAGTGGGTTATGACCTCGGTTGCCAACAACTTACTAACTTGGCCGAACACCCAAGGGGAAGGTACCCAAGGTCCCGGGTCCAAACCACCCACCCCACCCTTTTCAGGAGAAAGGTGAGACCAGTAATTTGCGCGCCCTTGAAATCTTTTGTTTGGAGGGAGTTGCCTTCAAAGTCAACCAAGAAGAAAGGGCCCACTTTTTTCCCCATGGCCACCGGCAGTTTGGGGTCTGGGTTTCTTTCTGTCCAGTCCAACGGGCGAACCCGTTCTATGCGCCGAACATTTCTGCGGCTGCTGCGGGTTTCGTTCCTTCGAAGCTTGTGCCATTCGAGTTTCCAAAATGACGCCCAGGGTTCGTGGGGTTTCGCGTTCCTTGGAACTGGGACTTGCAAGAAGCCGCCCTCATGTTAAATTTCCAATTGCAGGTGTCTGAGTCAAACGCGTTTGCGACAAAGCCCAGATATTCTCTCAAAGGTTTCTGAATCAATGACAGTTGCAACAAATAAAGCCAAGGTCGATGTGGAGGCCGACTCGCTTTGGGCAAGGAAGTGGTCTGGTTTTGGAGGGTATCCATGTAACCAATTTTGGGGTGGCGCAAAGGCAAACATAATCCTTCTCCATTTTAGGAAGACAGAAAATTGAAAAACCAACATTATAACCATATTATTTTCCATTTTGGGAAGCCTGGAAAAAAGAGAGAAACAAAAAAACAACAACACGCTTCGTCCAGTGGCGCATGCGCTTGTCCAGGGACACGTGGCGGTGGGGCAGGTGGCAGAAGGCGCAGTGCTTGGCCCTGGGGCAGCCGGCGTTCTTGGCGAAGTGGGCGCAGGGACGCCGGCAGAGCTGCGGATGCCCCACGCTGCCCAGGCTGGGAGCAGTCAAGGTGTTGCACTCCTTGGGGTTGTCGATGGGCAAAAACGGTTTTGGCCAGGGCCCTAGAATCGACAAAACACGGGGTTTTCGCCCTGGGAACATGAGAGAAAAAAGGGGCCCCACAAAAAAGGGCACACACACACACACACCAAAAAAAAACACACACACACACACAGACACACACACACACACACACACACACACACACACACACACACACACACACACACACACACACACCCACACACCCCACACACACACACATACGCACGCACACGCACGCCACGCACGCCGCGGCCGCCCGCCCGCCCGCACGCCCGCCCGCCCGCCCGCACGCGCGCACGCACGCACGCACGGACGCACGCACGTACGCACAAACAAACAAACATGAACACAAACAAACAAACAAACAAACAAACAAACAAACAAACAAACAAACAAACAAACACACAAACAAACAAGCAAGCAAGCAAGCAAACAAACAAACAAAAAACAAACAAACAAACAAAAAAAAAACAAACAAACAAACAAACAAACAAACAAACAAACACACAAGCAAACAAGCAAGCAAGCAAGCAAGCAAGCAAACAAACAAACAAACAAACAAACAAACAAACAAACAAAACAATCAAAAACAAAACAAACATACAAACAAACAAACATGCACAACAAAACACACGAAACAGGGTTTTCGCCCCTGGGAACATGAGAGGTTCTCAACTTTGCAGTGATCGGATTCCCTACATCGGCAAAGTCATGTTGCAACTGGAAGCAATGCCTTTTAATCTCGTGTTCAACACCATTCATCCAGGGAGGGAAGTATTTCTAGAGATGCCCCTCCTATGCAACTTTGACATGTTGAAGCATCTCATCCGAATGTCGTTTCTCTCTAATGGGATGGCACCCCCCCTGTTTTCTTCAACAAAAAATGAGGGGGTACCCCTCTAAATGGCCTGGGAATGCTATTTTGTACGACCCAAACCCGGCACCTCCAAAAACGAGGTCGTTTGTTGAGGGTGCCCTTTTTTGCCTTTTCAGAGGGAAACCCAAACAAAAAAAGTCGTTTTCGTGGGTCCCCCCCCCCCCCCAAAAAAAAAAAAACTAAAAGAAGAACAAATCCAACAACACCAGCCTTTCCCGCGGAAAAAAAGGCATCTTTCCCCCTCGGGTACCCCAAGAAAAAAGAAAGGAACACAAAACGGGAACACAAAAAAACCGACCACTAAGAAACCCGCCCGTGTATTTTTTCCCCGGGAAAGGGGGGGGAACTGACCCCTTAAAACTCCAAGCCCTGGGGAAGTTAATCCTTTTACAGACACATAGCCCATGTTACCCAAAAAGTGTTTAAGAGGTAAGAAAAGAAACCCACATCTTTTTGCCTGGCGATTTCTCCTGGGAGTTGTCCCGGACATGGTCGGCCCTCTCCCGAAGCTGCGCCACCTGGGATCTGAAGAGCGCCTGCTCACGACACGCCTCCGTCCACATGGACCGGACCTCCTCCTGAGCTCTTCACATCCGGCGCTTGGACTCAGTTGCCCCTGAGAGGGACCCAGGACTGAAAGGTGAATTCCAGAAAACGGCGTGGAGGCGCTTTTGGGGGAGTTCACCCGTCCTTCCCCCTGTAGGTTCTTTTTTAGTACTCTTTTTAACATCCTACAGGGGTGGATCCACACCAACCGCATCCAAGTCGTTTCCTCGATTCACCTTCGAACGCATGACTAAATATGGACCAAAGTAGGAACACCAAAAGGTCAGATCCGGTCGGCTTTGAACAACTGCGGGGGAAAATCCATGGGCCGGAGATCAAAGGATCGGACACCCTGAAACAACTTCCGTGGACTGGAACCTTGACATCCGGAAAAAATCCACAGGAACGGCCATGTCCGGAGCCAAGTGGATCGGGAAAAACACTGAAACAACTTACGACGACGGCCAAAAGTCCGGGAGCTTGCGTTGTTTCAAGGGGAAAGCCTTTGAAAAAAAAAGCCGAGAGCTCACTTCCGCTCGAATGGATGCCGCAAAAAAAGGTAGCCACACTTGAGTCACAATCAAAGCCCGGTATTAAAATGGTCTACCCAGAAACATGTGAAGAATTAAGAAGGCGCCCGCAGCTGTTTATGGTTGGGATTGTCTCACTCACTCCCTGAGTTGACGTGAACCACTCACTTTGGGTGGGAAGACAAAAAATAGGGGCGAACAGCAAGTGATCCACGATCAGACCCCGGGTAAGTGAAGGTTAGCCGTCTTTCAATCGCGAAACGGGCGGGTTGTAAACAAAAACCGGCGGACTCATTTTGGGCAGCCGAATCGAAGAATGAAGAGAATCAAGAAACCGCAAAGAAACAACGCCGAATCCAAGAAGAGTCACGATATTCCAAACATGGCACCTGCGGGGAGGTACCAAGGTTGATTTCCTTTTGAAGGGACCGGGCCCCTGTCAGTTGCCATACTGGAAGGGAGGATAAACCATTCACTTTCATTCCCATGGACTCAAAGTGGCGCGAACCAACTTCGCAATCCACAGTCTCGGCCCGGAACCTAAACCGACCATTCACAAATGGCAGTTTCCCACACAAGTCCCTAGGAGTAGGCCTTCATTAAGAAACATGGCAGTTTGAGAAGCCACCGGTACGTGATCGCTTCAGGTTCCAGGATGCTTTTTGATTGTCCCTGTTTGGTTGTAAAGGGAACTACGCCAAAAAGGAACCCCCGTGTCCGCCCAGGATGGATGTGTTGCAATTTGTCTATTCCGTTCATTTCCCTGTATCAACTAAGCCCCATTCGAGGTGTTCCGGACCCTCGGTTCAACCGACGGTTTCAACTGATATGAAAACCTCTGTTCGCTTCCATTTGCGTTTTCGCCCTGGAAACAAATAGAACATATATATATATATATATGTATCTGAATTCTGGACCCCGAACTGGATGTTGCTTGAACTGAAGGAATCCCGAAACTTTGATAAACAACAAGGTAAAAAGAAAAGTACCCTCAAAAGAGAATCAACTTAGCCATGTCCTTGTGATTGGCGACAAAAACATCCCGCCTAGCGTCTCCCAACACCAAGAGTGACCCTCTCCCAGAACAAGGGCAACCCTTTGTCAAAGGGACTTGCTGTCCTCTTGTTGTTGGACAAGCCAGTCCAGAGAAATCATCTCTAAAAGAACACATTTCTCCTTTCCACAAAAAGGCAACCTTCTCAACACAAGGGCACCCCTATCCCCGAAAAAGGCCGACCACTTTTCAAAGGAACGCCCTCTCAACCTTTCCCCCCGCCCAAAAAGAAAAACACGTGACCACCTCCTGTACATCGTCTTTGCAAGTGCAGTCCTTGGATCGGAAATCCGCCGGACAGCTCGCGCCTCTTTTGCGAGAGCCAAAGGCGTCCGGGGAAGCTTGGGGCTCCTCGTCGATGAAGGTCAAATAGTAGCGCAGGCTCATGGCAAGTGACGCTGTCCGAGGTATGCCGGTGTTTGAGCTGCAAAGCTGTGCTCGTGCAATAGGGTCCCTTCCAAAGGATTGGAAGGCGGGGTTGCATGAAACCACCCTTCCGCCTCACCCTGCCACCCTCCCGGCACTTGGCAGCACAAAATATGGAAAAGCCGAAGCCGCAGTGCCGCAGCAAAAAACAAACGACGCTGCGGCAGGGCACTTTTTGACGCGCGGGCAGTGGCAAGCGTGTCCATCGATTCGCCAACGATTTGGCCGGGAACAGCAAGGGTCAGTCTCAAGGCGACGCTCTCGAGTCTGGTTCCATCCAAGTGACGCTCTCAAATTCAGTTCATCTAACCCTTGGAGGGATGCGAATATAGAACATCACCCCCCAACCCCCTGCAAAAAAAACACACACCAGAAGCGTTTTGGAACCTCCAAATCCTTCACTTTCAGGATCGCAGTGATTGCGATTTGGCATCACCTTGCCCAGGTGGGATATGCCAAGGCGTTGAAGCACGGCTTGGCAATGCGCACTTACCCAAGCCACCTTGCAAAAGATCAACTGAGACACCAACTTGACATGACTCTCCCACACCAACAGGTCGACTGTTGCCCCTAGGGCAAGCGAGTGCATGCTGATTGTCCTTCGGTTGTCGGTTCTGCTTGCCAAAAACAATAGTTGACCATTATGGATGACGCTTCTCAGAAAGTGAACCGACATGCTCCACCCAGCTAGGGTGCCTGTTTGTGGCTTGCCTGATGGACGTTTGGTCCTCGCCCGCACCAACACTCCACGATAGAGGCTCTCAGATGTCATGTTAGCGCGCACGTGGCAAGCTTTGCCAGGAACAAAGGATGGAAGGATTTCCCCGTCACATCCCAAGGAACAAAGGATGGAAGGATGCCCCCACATCCCAAACGTTGGTCTGTAAGCAGATAGCGCTTGTCACCGGCAGATCCTGTGGGCAATGACAGTCCCAAATCGTGCCCCGCGACTCTAAGCGTTGATGGACGAAATCTCGCAACAGTTGAGAAGTGAAGTGCCATCATCGTTCATAGGGTTTCATCCATCCCAGACCGTCCATCCACAGAATGTCCAAAATCTAGCTCAAAGAAAACCTCTGCGAATACCTGGAGGCGGGTTGACAAGTTGGGTAAGGTTTGCCGAAGGTGCCTGTTGCTGCCTGGTCGAGCTAGACATTTTCCATGTGGGCAGAGGTAAAGGGTAGCCTTTGCAATGCTGACCTCTGATTACCGCCCCCCCCCCCAAACACTTCTTCCAAAAAAAGGCCTCCTTGATTAACCACTCTTGACCCACAGTGTTTACTAACCTGGGGGCGAACAAGTTGGGGATCTGCCAGTTCGCAGACTAACGTTCAAATGTTGTCCGGTGTTGGTGACTGCCCGCTGCCAAGGCTTGCAGTCTTTTGCCGAAAGGAGTATGCCACAGCCGCCCGGCCGATTTTCGCGAGGATCCCACATGAAATCAAACGCCCAGCGAGTGGATGGAATGATTCAGCAGCATTGAACAGCCAGCTTGCATCGGCACGGCGGGTTTCAGCAAGCCTGCCACGCTCGTAAAACCTGGCCACAGCAGAGGAAGTAGCTAGGAACTAGGCACTGAGCTGGGATGTGAGGACTCCAGCAGTCTGCTCCACTCGCCATTCTATAGCTCGAGCAGGCGTTGTGAATGCAGCACATGTGGATTACAGTGCAAACCACTCCAGAAACACACGCGCACACGCACACACACACGTTTGAGGACAGCTTGGGGACTGTTGGTGGGATGTTGCAATCCACAAGTCAGATGCCCAAACGGATTGATTGATGTGTTGAAACAGCCTCTGACACGTCAGCTGATTGTGCCTCGGAAAGCTGATGCCAACGTGGCAATACAGACCTCCAGTGGCAAAAAGACAAAAAAGGGCACGCATTAAACCAAAAGGGACAGGAGGTCTCGGTCAATGGTCCGACTCCGGTGTACAAAGGCTGTTCAGATCATGTTTCATGCTGTGGATGGTGGCGAAATCTGATCCCACCACTTTGAAACCATGGTTGAAACCTGTGTTTGCTGGTATTGGCAGGGGGATCAGATCATTCCAGGAGCTCTTGGGTGGTGCAGGAGTTCATCCATCCACAGTATGGTGTTTACACTGAAGTCTAAAATCACCTTGGAGGAGACGGAGACTCCAGAAATCATCGCGGCGTGAAACCACACCGAGCCAAGTCTTCCGCTACACACGGGGTCTGGCTGCAAAGTCCGTCGCTGCTTGCCGTGGGCGGCAAGCCATGGAACCCACTCCACATGGCCGCGACGATTTTTTAAACATATTTCTCTAGTCATGATTGAATTTGGCACCAAATGGACCACATGCCACGGTCGTTTGGGGCCCCATGTTCATCTGGGAATCCATCGAGGCATCGCTAATTGCCTGCCTGCCGCAATTCCGAAAGCTGCTCCAGCAAAAGAGCCGGCAAACGCCCTGAGACTCGGAAGCACAAGCCCACCAAGACCGACAAAGGTAGGCGTGCCAACCTCTTGTGCAAAAGCCTAGGCTGCACAAATCACGAAATTGATCCTCGGAAGCCTTTATCTTTCAGCCTGAGAATAGAAAGCCACCCTCAGCGAGTTTCTCTACACTCTTGGGTCGTCCTTTCATTCTGCCCGGCCGACGGGAAAAAGAATGGCTACGCTCAATTCGTGCGCCAACTCCCTCACATGTCCCTACGGCCCGGCAACTCGCTGGGGGGCCGTTCGGCTGACCCTGGTGTAAAGGGAAACAACTTTGTGCGGCGGTTCAGACAAGCGGTCTGGAGAGATGTATGAAAAGTTCAGCATGCGCGGCAAGCGTGAGTGCTGAAGAGGAGTTGAAAGTGAGTGAGTGCATAGGTTTCCTTTTAGGGGAAATAGCTGGCCTCTATTTTTCTAGCAAAACGACCAACAAGGACACCTATGAGCGAGTGCTTAAACAACTATGCGCTCTTTTTTCGCGTCCGAGATGCTGCCAGGATTTGTTGGAGGGTAGGACAGGGGGCTGCGGATGGCGAAGTACCAGCTCACGATCCAGAAGCTCCTGAGCCGTGGCGGCTATGAACCCCTGGCGGGTTTCATTGCGTGGGCCCCCTTTTTGCGGCGATGTATCACTTTGGAGGGGCCACCCACTTTTTTCAAAACCAAACAAAAAACAACATGTTTTGCCTGGTTAGTGGAAAACAAAGGGGACCCCAAAAAAGCAAAAAGTCAAACAGGGGAGCTAATTCGGGGGAAGACCTCTAGGGCCAACATGAGGACTCCGACTCGCCCCACTGGACAGCGCGGGCCCCCGACTCACCCGGTCTTGCGGGCCCGCGTGTCATCGTCTCGACTGGTTTCCATGGGCGGGAGGTATGTGAAAATGGTGGACCTTTGGGCTTGGTGGACCTTGGAAGGGGAGCAACAATTCTCAAGTTTTAGCAGCTAAGTGGTTGGATTTCACCCACTAAACCACAAGAAGCAAAGATGTTGAATGTGTCCCAACAACAACTATGTGGGGGCCATGACGAAAGATGGACCAAGGGGAAGCCAAAAGGTCAACTTCTCCATTTGCGTTTTCGTCCCCTCCACAAGTGAAAAACATGTCCCGTAGCGATAGATGCCATTTGAAATAAACAGGGGGAAGTAAACCATGTTCTGAAGCACATGGAAGTCAAAAGGTTGTTTTTGGCTGGTTCTTTCGTCCGGTAAGCAAGATCACAGGCATGGCTTCTTTGGGTCTTAATGAGGGCTTCTTTGGGCTCTCCCCCCCGCCCGCTCCTTCCCCCCCAGCCCCCATGATGTTCTGTCCGAGCGAAAACGCTCCAGGGAATGCTTGAAGAGTACCAAACCGACGCCAAACCGCAAACCATCACGAAAGCAATGCCAAGCAACTCTAAACAAGTACTGCAACGGTTGCAATCCACTACCAAATCCATGTAAAGCAGTATTAGTGAATACTAAAGTCTTACCAAATCAATTCTGAGCTCAAACTTGACAAGGACTGAACAAATTTTAAATGATACGGAATGCCAAGCTGATAACAAACCAACACTGAACCAAACCCTACTTGAAGAGTACTCGGGCTGATTCTGACGCCCTATTGTTGGACGACCACTCAAAGGTAGGACATTCAATCCTGATATCATATCATGCATCTGGGCAAATTCCTACTCACAACCAACTCTCCAGAGCTCGTTCTAGTACGCATGTTAGTGCTGACCCCGGATCTAACTAGAACCTCTCCCATTAATAGGCGGGCAAAAAAGTGGTCCAAATTCCTAATAAAAGGCGACACCCCCTATAAAAAACAAAGTGGGTGACTGAGGACCTCCAGAGAGGGATTGAATTGAAGGGTGGGATTGTATTTTTAACCCTAACCGACAACAACAACAACAACAACAACAACAACAACAACAACAACAACAACAACAACAACAACAACAACAACAACAACAACAACAACAACAACAACAACAACAGCAACAGCAACAGCAACAACAACAACAACAACAACAACAACAACAACAACAACAACAACAACAACAGCAGCAACAACAACAACAACAGCAACAGCAACAGCAACAGCAACAGCAACAGCAACAGCAACAGCAACAGCAACAGCCACAACGACAACGACAACGACAACGACAACGACAACCACAACAACAACAACAACAACAACAACAACAACAACAACAACAACAACAACAACGACAAGCAACAAGCAACAAGCAACAAGCAACTAGCAACAGGCAACACGCAGAAAGCAACAAGCAACAGGCAACAGGCAACACGCAACAACACCTACAAGCACAACGCGCACAACCAGCACACCAACCAACAAACAG